TTCTTGTCTGTCATGTTAAAACTTAATTTGATAACTCAAAGGTGGCATTAGTCTCCTAAACACAAATGTGGTGATTCTCCCAATAAGTGCCCATCTTTTAGACCTATTTCCTATATGTTGTATACATTTACAACTATGAGTTATAATGTAAAAACTATGCTAACAAAATTTAGTTAAATGGGCTCCTCAAATTATACATTTTCTATTAAAATAAACGTCTGGGGTCCTGGTAGCTCAGTTGGTTAAATGTCCAACTCTTGATTTCAGCTCAGATCATGATCTCAGGGTCCCGAGACCGAGCCCTGTGATGGGCTTTGCACTGGGAATGAAGCCAGCTTGGGCTTCTTTCTCTCTCCCTCTCCTTATGCCCCTCCCTGCCCCCACCTACATACATGCACTCTCTTTCTAAAATAAATAAATAAATGAATAAATAAATAAATAAATGTGAATAGGAAAACTAGTTTAAATATAAGATCCTAAAATACTTTAGTGTGTATATGATATGTTCTTTTCTCCACCCCCTACCCCGTATATAAAAAAATATGGTTGAAATTTGAGTTAAAATGTCAATTCTTTTTCTCTCTCTATAGAACTATATATAGTTCAAAAAGAATATTTCTAACATATGGGGCTTAACTGTGTATTATCAAAGCATGTGTGGTTTCTAGTTGACCATATGTTTTTCCTTTAAAGTTTGGTAAACTATGAATTTTCCAGAAAAGCAATGGGCTTTTGGTAATTCATTAACATTCTTCCGTTGTGGCAGTGGATGAGAGATCGCCCACACTAGGAAAACAGAATCACCATCAGACCACAACATGTACAGAACAGAGTCTAAAAAGCACAAGGATTTTTTTCTGTTCTTTTACAAAGTATGATTTTCTACTGTTTCTAACATTTTATCCATACATACATAACCATGGTGACCTAAAAAATGATGGATTTATAAAAAACATAATACTGCATGTTTCTATTTTTCTCACAATTAGGTAGGGATGGCTTTATCTATGATTTCAATGAAGAGCAGCCTGCATTTTCTATTAAACAGTCCATCATGAATGAGCAGCCCATAATCATTAATTTAAAAATTCCTCAGAGTCTACCTGTGGATCACTGGTCACATAAAGGGTGGCATAACTATACAGGTATGGGAGAAGCCTAATGGGAGTCAGGAGACCTGGGTGATACTTTAGCTCTTCTAGTACTGGTGAGATCTCAGGCAAGTTGTATCATCTCTCTTAACCCTGTTTTTATTGAATAGTATATTGAGAGCTCTGGACTGAATGCTGCTGAAGATTTTCATCTCTAAAATTCTTTGACTTAAATGTTCATTGAATGCAAATCATGTGACAGGGTTATGAATAAATATATAATACCTGGCCCAGGAACTCAAGGAACTTACTGATATTTAAATAGGTTATTAATTTCTAGAAGGTATAAAATTCTTGATGGGAATTTTCATTCAGTGTATTTTTAAAATCTGAAAGTATGCTGAAAATTCCGAGTTGACAGCTTTTATGTCCATTGAACAGGCTGTTTTACGTTTGGCATTCTCTGGATCTTTAACTGTGGGGGTGCAAGATGGCACAGCGGAGGAGCAGAGCTCATGGAGCCAGCGAGACCTAGGTCTGAACCACACCTTTTTCAACTAACAGTGTTTCTGTGGACAAGAGATAGAACCTTTTTCCGATTCATTTTATAATCTTCCATTATCATGTTTATGATTATTTTATAAAGTAAAAGGTGAAACCAATCCTCTTTTTAGCCCTAATTCTATTGCCCAGAGATAACTGGGAAGGAACTTATGTTCAAGTTTTAGATGGGCACTCCCCACAGTTTAAGTTCTGCAAGGAATGGATAAAATTAGTTAAAAACAGTGTTTACGGTCATGTACCCTATGTTCTAAGGAGCTCGTCAGCATCTGCTGGGCATGCCTGTACCTTCCCATCTCTGTCCTTTTGCATGACCTTGTTCTTCTGCCTCTCCTCAAAATTATTCATATGAGAGATGCAAATAAAACTCTTCCTGACATCCCTTCTGAGCGCCCAGCTGTGATTCACCTCCCTGTCCTCTAAGCATCCCTACCTCTCACTCTCCTCCTCCCTTTGCATCATGGTTACCCCCAGGGAAGATCTTACCCTTCCTTCAGACCGCAAGTGCCTTGGAGACAGGATCTGTGTTTGATGCAACTTTGTAACTACAAACAAGACCCAATAGTGTTCCTTCCATATATTAACCGCTCAGTAAAAGTTTGCTTAGTTAACATAGTTTAAAATTTGGTAGAATAGTTGAAAATATTAGAAAACAACTGGTGTTATTTTGATTTCAAAGTTGTAAAATTCTGTCTTATTTCTAAAATAAAGGCATTTTAATTCTGGAAAAATGCCCTATCAATCGAGCCATCTATAGTTTCTCAGGAGACCTCTCAGGAATCATCTCTGACACAGGATGTCAATATATGGGAGAGAGAGGAAGAAAGAAACTCTGCTATCGTATGTGTTCCCCAGAACTAGGGCGCAGCCTGAGCTGCTTGCCCCCCTCAATCCCCTCCCTCATAAACTCATAAGAATGGGAATAAAGAGGGAAGCACTGTGTATGTTTTTTCTTTTTCAATTAACATGAACTGAAATTTTTAAAAAGCACAAGCCTAACATAAAAGCTTCTTCATAAAGCAAGCTGAACATTGCAGTCAGAAGTGAGGTGGCTGAGCACTGTTACGGTGCACAGAGTCAATGAGGCTCCGAGGGGTGGCCCGGTAGGCAGGCATCATGAGGGTAAGAGGCACACGTCCCTGCGCCATTTTGCCCCATCTCAGTCCTTCTGCAGCCTGTACCAAGTGTGTCATGGATGTAAGAGGCCATTTTCAATCTAAATCTTGTTATAGATTAATAAGCAAACATTTTCTTGCTTATTATGCAATTTATCATGATGAAAATTACATTGGATTCCTCAAGGCTACATGCTGATACATTCATTTATTTAGAGCTGTGTATAGAGAGTTATACTAATCTTCATGACAGAAAGGATGTAATAGCAAGATTTAAAATTACCTACTGAAGAACTAAAGTATTTGTGTCTGTGGACATACTACATGTAGATAAAAACACAGTGCATCTTTATGTTTGCTGATATAAGCTTCATGTAAACTGATTTAAAAACAAAATAAAACAAAATATTAAATACTACGCCTAAAATAAAGCCCATCACTTTTCTCAACAACAAGACTGTATACTCTTGAAATTGTGTTTAGATCAGCTGTGAAAATAGGCTATAAAATTAGGTCAAAACAGAATTGGAAGGTATACAGGGCAGCTGCAGCCAACGGGAGGGCAAAGGATTGGAAACATGTTCTGGGCTTTGCACAAAGGCCAGCTGCCTCTTACTATTGCTTCAAATTCATGGGCTCAGTTCCCTCCTAATTCTTAAAGTCAACCAAGAACCTTCAGGCCACCTGTATCCAAAAACTATCCCCTGGCTGCCATTATGTCAAACTATTCATTCTAGAACCAAGCAGCTCTTGATCGGTTGAACACTAAAACAATGACAACGGCATCACCACCCTTACTACCACCATAAACGGAACACCCATTCAATCTTTAAGTATGTGCTAAGTACTCTTCTAAGCACTTTGAAATTGAAACACATTTAATATCAACCTTATGAAGTAGGTGTTTAATTAGCCCCAACTTGTAGATGGAACTGAGGTAAGAGATGAAGTGATGTGCTGAAGAGCATACAGCTAGGGAGAGACACAGAGGTAATGTTTGGGAAGTGTGGTGGTATGATGGGAGGTCGGGCGGGGGGGCAGCTGTCTAAATTGGAAATGAATACCGTCTCCCACCAATCCATCTTGGGACTTCGGGCTGGGAATGCCCAATCTGTAGACAAAGCCACAGCATCCCAGTCTAGCCTTTTAATAGCTTCTTTGATCTCTACTTCCTGAGCCTAGAGCCATGATGGGTCATAAGGGAAAGATGAGAAAGACAACCATGAAGAAAAGGACAGAGAATTCTAGTTCTCCCCAAGGTCAACAGAGATCAGAATGAAACGCCATTCACTGAGAAAATCAAAGAGGTCCTAACATTTACATTAAGAGAGTATCATGGGCCAGTTCAAGGACTCCTACCACTAGGAATTCACACCCACGAGGATGGCTATAGTAAAAAAACAGAAACAGGGGCGCCTGGGTGGCTCAGTTGGTTAAGTGTCTGACTCTTGGTTTCGGTTCAGGTCACGATCTCAGGGTCGTGGGATCGAGCCCTGTGTTGAGCCCGGCCTCAGGCTCTGTGCTCGCCGCAGAGTCTGCTTGAGACTCTTCCCTCTGTTCCTCCCCCTGTTCTCTGTTTCTCTAAACTAAATAAAATCTTAAAAAAATAAAAACAAAAGCAAAAACAAAACCGAAAACCCTCCTCCAAGAATTAGGAGGCTGAGTTCTCAAGTAGACTTGAACCTCTACTAGCACACCCAATCCCCTTCCCATCACTCCTGGACACTTGCCACCAAGGGCTCCCCACTTACTTCACTTCAGCAGCCCCTTCAACTCATCGGCCTTCCCCTCTACTCTCATCACCGCTTCCCTGGATCTCTGCAGCCTCCTACAGCTGGCCCTTGACTGTGTGCAAGTGAAACCTCAATAAAGTGGATTTAAAAATTACCACGAGTGGGAAGGAATAATTCCCCAAACTATCTGGCCATGTATTCTATCAGTAAAACATTTCTGAGCAAGTATATATATAATTTTCCTAAGAAGTGATATGTTTACACTGTTATTACATAACAATATGTCAAGGCACAATGTCACAGATCAGTCATTCACTGGCTCAGTGCTAAATCCCAGAGGTGCCCAAATTATAGAACTATACTTCCCTTTCCCTGTCTATATCCCAAATTTCGTTTATTGAGATATTTGTCTTTTTTTTTTTTTTTGTCTATTAAAACAAATCACCAACCGAATAAACACAAACAAAAACCCCACAAATTAACTGGAACTGAGCACGTACTTGGCGAGTTGTTTCTCGGCATCAGCACAGAGTTCGAGAAGCCCCATGAGGACAGCAGACACGTCCATGTAAGGCTCCCAGACGGTGAAACCACGTCCAATCAGATCAATGGCTGTTCTTCGGATCGTACTGTGTGGAGGAAGTTTGGGGCTCGGAGGCTGCAGCAGAAGAAATGTCAGTGCCTTACCTAAAATTACAAAAGAAAAGGCAGAGCAGTAATTTTACTTTTGTGATGTTTTCTTTGAAGATATTTTCAAAGTATAAACCACTTTGGATTTCTTTTTTTTTTTAACTAAAAGGGGGTTTTCAACAGTAAGACTATAAAAGATCTCAAGTTTACAGTTTGCTCAGCCGCATTTTAAAGAGATACATTAGGCTACAATATTTTATACCATATTCTAAAATGTTTTAGTTTCAGAAGAATTATGTATAATTAAGTATATATAATTTCAAAACATATCAGTGAACCTAACTTCCAAACAAGGTTTCTTTCTACTCAGCATTCTGCAAAATGGAGATGGTTTCAAATAATGTTAAATGGTATTCATCTTTCTTCTGCCCCTAACAGTGCTCATATGTCAAACACTTACATCAGTAACACTTGTTTATCAGCAGGGATGAGCGATGAAGGTAGAGGTGTAGTTTAAAAAGTTTCCCCCACAAGCATCTATGTTTCTCCATACTCTGCTATACTGATCCAGCACAACGATGTGAAGTATGTGGTAAATTCTTCACTCAAGTTTGGTAAAGAAATTAAAAGTTCGATATCACTTTCAAATTCGATGAAATGATCTTGATTTTAATTAACATGTATTTCTTTATGTTGAAGATAATGCTAACAATTTGTAAACATAAGCCTAATGGCCACTGCACTGTAAAAGCTCATCTATTTCAAAAGGCATTTTGACGTTTAAAAAAGAAAATAGGGACTGTGAAGAGCAAACTGCAATTTTGAAGAGGCTGTTCATTTCTCGAGGGGAAGAGACAAAACTGTTTACAAATCATAGAACAGTACAGCAGACTGGTTATGGGGCATACAGGTTTCAGATCTAAGCCAGGGAAGTAACCACAGTTTCATAACTTATTAGGTGGCAGGCTGAAGAAGGTTCTCATGCGCTTCAGCTTCCTTGTCTGTAAAATGGGGAAAACAATAGCTCTCTCTCACATAGAGCATGAGTGCTGGATGAACTGATGCATGCAAAGTGTCCTGCCACGTGCCCAGCATCCAGCACCTCAGAGGGCTCCACAAATGGCAGTCAGGGCTCATGACGAATAGCACCTTGAACCTGTCTGTTTTCAAAACAAAGAATGTGGCATATCAACTTTAATTTAATGCATTCAACAGATAATGCATTTACTCATTTTTATGTCCTAGCCAATTGTTAAATGAGAGCCCAGATAAGAGTCTGTGAATGCATTTGTTTGTTCCTGGTCCAGAATATCTTCCGCCATAGAACCTTTGAGGAATCTGTTGAAATCTACCAGTCTTTTCCCCGGGAAACTACATACACTACACATACATATCTATGAAATTCTGCAAAAAAATTTCAAGGAGGCCATGGTTCTTGGGTCAATAACTCCTGCAGTAAACTGAAAAGGTACATATACATGGAAAGCCTCCTAGAGGAAACATCTTGAAATTCATGACTTCATTCATACATGCATTTGAAAACTGTACTCTCCTACTAGGCCATGTAAATGTCGTATGTAAAGCAAGTTCTGTGGATCATAAAAATATAAACTCCTTAAAAAAGGTGACCCACTGTTCTCTATTTTCTGGCAGCACGTATGCATCCCTTCCCACATGATATTTTTAATTATAAGCCTTTCTATGCACTTCCCTTTTCCTCTTCAAGTCTGTTACTCCTGGAGGTGGGAACTATGTTTCATGCAACTTTCCATCTCCCACACCACCAAGCACAGTGCCCTGCCCACATTACGGACCTAAATAAGATGGAAATATCTCTGCCTTGACTGCATGTACATTTCTAATGCTGCTCCTTGCTCCAGTTTGTCAGAATGAGATTTCAAAATGTCAAGAAACACACCACTTTCCTGTTGTCCTTTCCTTCTAGGAAGTTGTAAGACCTGCAGAGAAAGCCCCATCGCTGCTCTCTGCAGACATCCTGGAGTTCAAGCAGCAATGGCTCCAATCTAGGGGACAGGGCTCCCTGAAGGTATGTCCTTGGGAACCAGTGTTATGAAGGGGCAGTAAGGTTTCCATTAAATACAATGTTTTATAGCATTTCAATCATCATTTTCCTTAACTGCACTCCGCTATTTCTGTCTTCAATACAGGCAGGAGCATTCTGGCAATCCTAGGGACCTCGCTGATTTCTTGCAGCCTCTGTGTGGGAACTTTGGAGGCAGGTTCCTCACCACTCTGACAATTTTATCCTGAGAGCAAAAGTAAACCGTTAAATGGCCGGTTTCTTGATGTTTTTCATCATTTTTCTGACAAAGTAGGAAGGACAGCAGAGGGGATTTGATCACTTACCTTCCAATGAAATGACAGAAAAGGAAGAATGAGCAAGCGTACTTCAAAAGACCCCTGGCCTTGCAATGGTCCCGCAGGGTATCGCTGCTGCTCCCCTGCAAAGTGTGATCTACCCTCACAGTGAGGATGCCCAGCTCAGCAGGAAATGCAGGTTCCCTACAGCACCGACATCCCCTCTCTTAAATCACTTTCTATTTCATTCAATGATCTTATAAGTACAATTCTTCTATAGGTACATCTCTCCTTCTTTAGTTCAGATCACAGTCTCTGGGTAACACAAAGCAAAGATCCCCACAGTTCTGGCAGGCCATGTGGCACCAAGAGAAACAGAGAGAAAAATGGCCTATTTAACACACACATTTTAAACCTACTAACTAGAATCTGACTATTTTTCACTGGTCTGTTTTGGAATTATAAAGACGGAAGAATGTTAAAATTCCACACCTATCTCTGACAACTTATTCCAGGAAAAACATGTAAATAAGAGAAGATAAAGAGGGTTTTCAAGTTAAACATTTTGACTTCTAGCCTGGCTGATTAATAAAATGCTTATGACTTTAATGCTACCAGGAATAATGACCCTGATGTTCTGAAGGAATACTCTCGGATGCCTGAGGCTTCAAACTTCCTAATCACGGATTCCTTCTGATGATATTAAGGAATGAGCCTTTAAGAAATGGTTGTTATGATAATAAAAAGCGATAGGTAAATTTAAAATTCCTTTCTTGACTTACACTGTATTCTCTACTTCAGGGTTTATCTGACTTATGATTCTGTAAGAGACAGATGCTCTGCAACATGGGACAAGGTGATAAAAGAGCTAAAATTAAGACACCCATGGTATCTCCCCTTTTGATAGAAAAAGCCACATGACAATTTTATGAATTTTATCTCTCAGAATTTTCCTTAAACCTTTGGTACCCAATAACAGTTGCATTTTAATCTGTATAAGATGAAATCTAATTCTGTACCAAAATACATATGCATTTATTTTATGTTAATGCCCCACTGTTCAACAGTGCCTCAACGAGCAAGCAAGGCAGAGAATGATGTTATTATCTGCCGTCATGATTGATTTCTTCTATAAAAGGCTCTCTAGTGGCAGTATTAAAAAGTTCAACAAGTGGGACTGACATTCATTCAAGGTTTTTTGAAATTTGGTTCCAACCTATCCATCCAAAGATTCATGTGATAACTATTTATAGAGTGTTGCTATATAATACTAAGTGGTGGAGAAACAAAAGGAAAGACTAAGTTCTTTCCCTCAAGGAAATGCATTCTAGTTCAGGAGACAGGTGAGCAAACAGGTAATTTGAATATATTCTGAATAGTGTTAGAATATTTAAGAGCACAAGGTATTGGGGGTGCCTGGGTGGCTCAGTTGTTAAGTGTCTGCCTTCGGCTCAGGTCATGATCCCGGGGTCCTGGGATCGAGCCCCACATCGGGCTCCCTGCTCAGCGGGAAGCCTGCTTTTCCCTCTCCCATGCCCCCTGCCCCGCGTGTGTTTCCTCTCCCGCTGTCTCTGTCAAATAAATAAATAAAATCTTAAAAAAAAAATAAAAATAAAAGCACAAGGTATCAAGACAGAACTTAATAGGGGCACTTAACTCCGACTTAGAGGTATGAAAAGCCTTCTAGGGAAACGTGACCTCTATATCCAAACCTAAAAATAAGTAGGAGTTAGCTACTCAAAGGAGAGGACTATGGAAAGAATGCATTCCAGACAGAGAAGAGCGTGTCTAAAGACCAGGAAATGAGAGAGAACATGGCCAGATCAAGGGATTACCCATAGTTCAACATGGCTGGAAGTTCTGTTTGGGAAAAAGGAAGAGGTTGAGGTAATGGGCAAGGGAAAAAAGAGGACTAGGTGGATGAAAAGGAACAGTGAGACATGAGGCAGGACAGGTTATTAGAGCCCAACCACAAAGGGCCTCATATGCCATGCTAGAAGTTTGTTTATTCTGGTGACATTGGGGAACCACTGTCTCAGCTCACCTGTCTCCTGAACTAGAATGCATTTCCTTGAGGGAAAGAACTTAGTCTTTCCTTTTGTTTCTCCATCACTTAGTATTATATAGCAACACTCTATAAAAAAAACCACAGTTGTTTTTTTTTCTTTAAATTTTTTATTGTTATGTTAATCACCATACATTACATCATTAGTTTTTGATGTAGTGTTCCATGATTCATTATTTATGCATAACACCCAGTGCTCCATGCAGAATGTGCCCTCTTTAACACCCATCACCAGGCTAACCCATCCTCCCACCCCCTCCCCTCTAGAACCCTCAGTTTGTTTTTCAGAGTCCATCGTCTCTCATGGTTCGTCTCCCCCT